GGCCGCCACCGTGCTGACAGCGACAAGCCCGACTTCCGCCCCATCCGCCGCACATCGTCCCGCACCAAGGGTCTCAAGGAGAACGACGGCCCGTACCACCCGTCCAAGGGCGGGTCGCCGTCCAGCAAGCGGGGCCGCAGCAACGGCAGGGGGCGGGGCGTGGGCAAGGGCAAGATGACGCCGGGAGACAAGGGCATGAAGGACATGCAGGCCATGTATGGCGGCGGCTTCATGGGCTACGGGTTCGACTCCAACATGGTCGTGGCTGGCGTCCCCCTCAACAACACTGGTGGCGGGGAGCAGCTCGGCCTCCCCACCCCAATCCAAGGCATCCCCGTACACACACCCGGCAACCCCACCACCTCCTACGCCGCTTATGGAGTCGACCCCACAGCATACTACTACCACCACACCGGCGCACAGGGATACCCCTGGGGCGCTCCAGGCGCCGCACCACCGGGCGCCGACGCAGCAGCGGCTGCTGCTGCTTGGGGGCAACATGAGGCCTACCACGCCGCTGCCATCGCTGGGGAGGGGGGCGAGAAGGAGGGGGGTAAAGAGGCGGCTCCGGCTGGTGCTCAGGCGGCTGGCGGTGAGGGTATGCCGCTGCATGCTGTCGAGGGCGAGATGAAGCCTGAGGAGCATGCCGCCGCACAGCAGCAAGGGCCACCGGAGGCCAAGCTGGAGAGCGAGTCCGAGCGGCCGCAGGAAGGTGCGGCGCCACTGACTACGGAGGAGGGGCAGCCGAATGGGGAGGAGGCGTGAAGTGAACAAAACACCAAACATAACATGCACAGTCAGTACACATGCCTAACTAACTAACTAACTAACTACTGTCTTCTGACCGTCCCTGCACACACACACGTACTCGTAGGCAGCTGGATGGATGGATGGGTGGTCGACTGACTGTCTGATCGCTTTCTTTTGTGGCTGGCTGGCCGGCTGGCCGAATGTCTGTCCAGTGCCTGGATTGGTCTGCGCCCGCTGCTTGTGTGTCGGGCGGGGCTGAAGAGTTTTCTTTTCTGGCGCTGGGTGGGCGGCCGGCCGGCTGACCATGTAAGTATTTTTTACCAACACGAAGACCACGAAGACCTCACTGTGTGGGTGGGTGGGGGAGAGACTGCCTGCACAGAAACGTCGATCGCTCCTTGTCGCACACTAACGGTGATAGCTCTGCTTCTGGCTGGCTTGTCGTACGTGACGGACAGATGAGGCGGGCAACCCACACCCAAACATACACCACACACCACGCACGGATCACCACCGTGTGCCTGTCTGCTGTCCAGAACAGTCTGCCGTTTTGTTTTTGTGAAGAACCGTTGTGTGCGTGTCGAACGAGTGGATGGATGGATGGATGGCTGACTGACTGGCGGAATGTCTGTCGATGGTGTGGCCTGCCTTCTCCCGGTGTGTGCGTGTAAGATAAGCTGACCTGACTTGACCTGACCGCACCTCCTCGCTCTGACTCGCTTGGTACTCACCCTCTCTCTCATGCCATCCATCCATCTATTGGACACAGAGGACACTCTCGCACTTTTGGTCACAAAGGACCTTAGTGCGACCATTCACCCACCCGACGCCCATGGACTCTCTAACCAGACCTGATAGGTGAAGCCTGTCGTCTCTTGCGTGTGTGTGTGTGTGTGCAGCTGTATGAGACTGCTCGTTGCATCTATGTGTACATTCCTCAATCACTCAATCCCGAAAGTTCTTGCCAAACAAAAGGTGCGCACCTTCAGCCATCTCGCGCTTTTAGCAGAGCACAGGGAACAAACATCTTGGCCGCCGTGACTGTACGGATGTAAATTTCCTCGACGACATATGGAAATGGTTGTTGTTGGCCTCGTGGTCGCCCTGTTGGCCTTCCTGGGAGTATTAGCAACCTCAGAGGACCCCTCAGTCGAGATCTCCACCGGGCCAGACACCGCTGTCACCTACATCGGCACCTGCATACCGCAAAATGGCGTGGGCGACGACGAGAGCGGCGTCGACGCCTACCTGGGCATCAAGTACGCCGACGCGCCTCGCTTCACCGCCCCCTCCACCCTCCTGCCGAAACAAGGCGATGACCTCACGATCGACGCCACGCAGCTCGGCCCTGCCTGCATCAGCCTCTGTGGAAAGATCAACCAGAGTCCCTTCTTCTGCGGGGACATCGAGAGCGCGGTGGAAGACTGTCTGTTCCTCAACGTGTGGGTGCCACGCAAGGCCGCCGCCGAGGCGAAGCAGAAGAACCAGACGCTCCCGACGATCGTTATCAATGTTGGCGGAGGCTTCTACACGGGAAGCGCCACTGCCCCTTTCAATGATGGAGCTGCGTTAGCGCTCGGCACCAGCTCGGTTGTGGTCAATTACGGGTATCGGCTTGGGGTCTTCGGCTTCCTCTTCTTGCCGCCCGCTATCGAGGGCAACTTCGGCTTCTTGGACTCTATTGCTGCACTCCACTGGACGAGCGAGCTCATCGAGGTGGGCAACAACAGGCAACCACGTGTGTCAGTCAGTCATCAGTGATGATCGTTCTGCTGTCGTTCTGCCCACTTTCAGAACTTCGGTGGCTCGTCCGAGTTGACTTTGTGGGGCTTTTCTGCGGGAGCAACCCTCATCAGCTGCCACCTGGTCTCTCCTTTGATCGAGGAGCTTGGCATTAGCATCAAGAACGCCATCCTCACCTCATCGAGCTACGGGCTGCCCTTCAACTCACCCGACCAAGCAGAGAAGTTCTCGTCATTGGCCCTTTCAGTGGTGGGTTCGTGCAGCCGCGGTGACTTTGACGATGCCGAGGCGTATGCCGATTGCCTCAGGAATGCCCCGCTGAAGGAGATTGCGCAGTCCAATTCGATCAACTACCTGGCGCAGGTAGTGACCGACTTCTTTAAGTTGACGGAGGCCATCACGCCCGTCCCTGACGGGCATGTTATTCCGCGAGAGTGCTACCAGTCCCTGCTAGATGTGAGCAGCACTCGCATGACATGACAAGGCAGACCAGTACATGGGCTGGTTCTCTGGGCTTGTGTGCAGGGTGAGGGTCTGCAGGTGCCACTGATCCTCACTACTACCAACAATGAGGGGACGCCATTCATCCGGCAGGCACTCACCGTCGTCGACAGCGTGGCCAAGGTGGTGACGCCCCTCATCACCAACCCCGTCACATACACCAGCCTTATCATATCGCTCTTTGGCGTCAAGAGAGGCCTGGTCAGCCAGCTGAACAGAAGAAACGACAACCGTCACTTCAGCGCATCACTCGCTCTCCGTCTGTCTGCTTTCAGGACGTGCTCAAGCTGTATCCCCCTCTCGGCAACCCAGGTGCCCCCGGCGAGCCATCCGGCAGCTTGCCAAAGCCGTCAGATCCCGATGCAGGCAGCTCTTTCTCATCGGCGTTCGGTGACTACATCTACAGCTGCCCCGCACGGCCACTCTGCGGCTTAAGGGACAACTGCTACCTGGGTTACTTTGATGCCGGCTTCTCATCCAGCCGGTCGCCATCCCTTGCAGACGAGGTGGACGCGTCGCTGGGGGGCACATATCGGGAGTTCTGCCAGCCAGACGATGTGAGGTGTCATCTGGAGGAGCAGCCGTGGATGCTGCAGAGTGCAGGCATCTTCTTGGAGGACGACAATGGGGAGCGGTTCAAGTACACGGACGCTGAGCTGGAGGCACTTGAGGTGTTTTGGGCATACATACGGAATTTCATCAACAGCGACGATCCCAATAACGGGGAGGAGGTGCCTGAGTGGAAGGACTATTTTTTCAGCGCCGACGGCGATGACCCCTTCCAGGCGCTCGCCGTGATTGACGGCGATGTGAAGGCCAAAACGTCTCCAGGATTCAAACAGGAAGTCTGCAACCTATGGGACTCGATCGACCCACGGTGAGGGACCCACAGAGACGACTTGTTTGGCCACATGACGCTTGTTTGTGTGCGTGTGTGTAGGTACTCGGTCTCATGGAAGAACCTGCCTTCAGCCTTCAGCCTCTTTGAGGATGAGCAGCCGCCCGTCGCCTCCACACCACCACGCCTGCATTGTGTCGGCCACCGGGCCCTCTCCCCCGCCGTCAAAGAGACATGGAGGCAGGCGATAAGGGAAGACCCCGTCCCGACAGGAATGGGTCTCTCTCTCGTCAACGACTTCTTTTGCGAGGCCGCTGACAGCGAAAGGGAAGGCGAGACAGAGTCTTCCACCAACGACCGCGAGCCACCGTCTGAAGAGTTTCTGTCAGTCGTCAAGGTTATTGAGGAGCAGCGGGCAAGGGAGAGGGCGCGATGGGATCGTGCGGTGTCGATTGATGACACTGCAGGCTTGGAGGTTGAGGCGCTGATGAAACAGTATGGCTTCTTTCGGTAGCCTATTTGGTCTGGCCGATGGTAGGGTGCTGTGTCCCCCCAATGAATGCATGTGCTTTGGACTTGCCAGCCGGGGTGCGTTCGTGCTGTCTGCCTGCCTACCTGCCTGTCTTCTGCCTGACTACGTACTTGGGCTCACATCACATATCACATACACGTACACCTTTTGCCGATTTCTTGAAGGATTTGTCTTTGGCCTGGCTGCCTGGCTGCTTGTCTGTGCCTGTGCTCGCGTAGATCGGTGTGAATCGTGTCATTGTACTCATTGCATTGGCCCCTTGACGTCTCTCAGAGAGGGAGAGCATTGGCTGGACAGACAGAGGAGTGGATATGTGCGGAGACAAGTGCGAAGATGAAGGAAACTGGATTGAGAGTATCCGACTTCACTGTGTCAGCAAGCGCAATATATATTGAGCAAACGTTTCGTGAATAGGTCTGTCTGTCCACGTATCAATGCACTCACTGTCCACACACAGGAGAGAGAACACTGCTAGCAAGTCCATCATCGCACATGCACCGCCAGAAAGGCAGGCACATGCTGGCAGAAGGCAGGGAAAGTACGCTAAGACGCAGAGCATCCATCCCATCACACCATAGGCAAAAAGCCTTGCAGACTCGCATCCATCCATTCCGTGAGCCATCCAGCCATTGCAGACCGCTGCGTAGCGTCTCTCTCTCTCTCTTTCTCTCTCTCTCTGCCGTTTCTGAGCGTGTGGATGACCCGCATCAAAAAGCGGCGTGGCTTGGCATTTCTCCCCTCCCTCTATGTACATCCATCCATTCATCCATCCATCCATGCCTTCCCTTCCCGTGTATGTCTCTGTCTCTCTCTTGTATGGGTCAGTTGAGAGGTCGCACTGGGCCCTGGCACTGGCGTCGGAGGAGCCTCCCGCACAGGCGGCTGACGGCGGCTCTGGGCGTGTCGTCCTCCTCCGGCTTGATCATCGCCAGGATGCTCTCCCCCATGGCCTTGCGGACAATGGGCGGAATGGGCACCTCCTCGGGCCTGTCGGTGGATAGAAACAAAGGATGCATGCGCATGCAATGATGACAAATCCCTTCTGCAATGAGAGCATGAGCGCAGGGTGCGCGCGATGCCGTGCTTACCGAGGTGTCCGCTTGTAGGCGGGGCGATAGTACGTCGGGATGATGAAGTGGTCGTGGGCTTCGGCGTCGTCGAGCAGCTGAATGCCCGGCACCCACAGCGACAGACGGCTGCCGCTGACGCGAGTCGACATGGGACGTCGAGTGGTGACTTTGCACTGAAAAGAAGAAGCGGAAAGCGTCTCAGCGACGAAGGCAGGGGCAGGCTCGGCTCTGCTCTCGAAGAAAAGCTCCGGGTGGTTTTTCGACCCAGCTCGCACTTGAGCTTGCAGGTTGAGGCCAATCTCCCCGAGAGAGAGAGCTTCACAGGAGCAGCGAAGCGACGCAGAGTGCGGCATCTGTAGATATCGATCAAATCAGCGCCCATTCACTCATCCCATCTCCTCGCTGCTTCCCTCTCTGACCCTGGAGCAGCGCATCAGCCATGAAGGCATCGGCGCCCAGCAGCAAAGCAGACGGCATCCACAAACAAGCAGATCAAGCATCACCAAGTAAGACGAGTGGCCGGCCGATGCTGCTCAACGTGGGCGGCTTCGTCATGGCGTCCCTTGTCATGTGCTGCTGCGCGAGGGGCTGCGGGACACCTGCCTGGCGGTGCTGCTGAACCGCTTCGACAGCTGGATGATCACAGACGACAATCGCATTCACTTTGTTGATGCCGACCCCTTCTACTTCATCTGGTGAGGGGGAGGGAAGAGCAACACACTGGCTGACAGGCAGCAGCACTCGCCGTGTGTGTGTTCGGGTTGGCTGTCAAGCTTCGTTACCTGAGCTGCAACCGCATCGACGTGAGTGACATCATCGAGGGCTGCCCCGCACTGGCCTTCTACCACGACCGCTTCTTCGCCAAGACGGCCGCTAGCATCGAGCCGCAGCACGGCGACCATGACAGCGAGGCGTTCCGTGGCTTCATGGCCGTCATGGGGCCATTCATCAGCTCATCGGTGGCGGGCGGGGCGGGCGGCAGTGAGGTGCTGAGTGTGCCTGTGGCGGATGGTGGTGTGGTGGCCACGACCGACGCGACGCTGGCTGACTACAGCATACTGCACGACCGATTCATCAAGTAGGGCTACAGGCGGAGATGAGATGGCGTGGTGGTCATCTTTGCACTCCGTGTGTGTGTGTGTGTGTGTGTGTGCAGGTATGGGCCCGTCGCGGATGTGTCGGCAGACACCTTCCACAAGTAAGACAACCACAGCCAGACGGCACACGAAATCTCCATGTGTGTGTGCTGTGGCAGAGTGGTGGATTACGTTCGCCGCATTCGGCTGGCCCCCGACGCCGCCACGCCGCTGCCGACGAGCAGTTGGCCTGACGAGCTGCTGTATGCCTGTGACATGTATGGCCTCATGGAGCGGGTGTATCTCTCAATGATCGGCAAATCGCACAGCCACATCAAATGCCTCTTCAAGTGAGTCACAACACACATTAGAGGGGCGCAGGAGGGAGATGCCATTTTTTGATTTGGATGCCTTTGTGTGTCAGGAGTTCGCTGCATGGTGGAGAGTTCGGCACTCTGGTAGAGCGAGTGGCGGGTGTGAGCGGCCTGCTGTTCGTCGTCGAGGACGAGAAGCAGCACACCATCGCCAGCCACATCGACGGGCCCCTCATCCCCCCGGCTGACCCCACATCGACGCTGCTCACCGGCTGCCCCGTGACCCTCTACTCCATCGGTGGTCCATTTGAGGAGGGCGGCATCGCCAAGCTCACCGTGCCGCACAGCTATCAGTGGGTGGAGGTAGCCGGCGTAGAGGGGGCGGTGAAGGACCACGAGGGTCTGCCCTGGGGCAAGGTGTGCACCGCTGGCGGCCGCCTGTGCCTGGGGTTATGCAAGGACGGGCCGACTGATGACGTCACCTGCTGCAGTCATTGGGTGGGGAGGCATGAGCTGCCCGACGACAAGACGTACGTGGGGACCTTCAGCGAGCAAAAAGATCCCACCCTGGCCGCCAGCCACTACTTCACCGCCCAGCGACTGGAGGTCTACCAGGTCAGACCGACATCAAGTCGATGGCATGTCCGTGTGATAATATGAGTCTGTGTCTATGTGTGTGTCTGTATAGGTGTGGACGACTCTTCCGGCCGACCCCATTCTCCCCGACGATGAGCTGCAGGCCCTCATCGACAGGACCCGCGACATAGGGATGACCGCACAGCTGCTGTACAAGTGAGTGAGGCATTGAAGAGCCGGGGGCCGTGGTCGTATCATCGTATCCCTCTCCTGTCTGTCCGGCTGTGTCAGGGGCGAGCGTGACGGCTGGGCCCACGAGACCATGCTGGCCAAGGTGGGCGAGGCGGCCAACCTGCTGATGCTCTTCAAAGACACCGGCAGTCACACCTTCGCCTGCCACATCGAGGGACAGCTCAAGCAGCCGGCCGACCCCATCGGAATGGAGAGGACAGACTGCCGAGTGACCTTCTACTCCATCAGTGGCGCATTTGAGGAGGGCGGCATCGCCAAGATTTCCGTGCCACAGAACAAGCAGTGGGTGGTAGTCGCTGGCACAGAGGGGGCGGTGGTGGGCAACAAGGGCGGCGGCAGCAAGGTGTGCATCTGTTGCGGGCGCTTATGGCTGGGTTACGGGGATGATGGGCAGCCGGCCGGCGACCTCCGCAGCTGCTGCCAGGTGGTGGATAGGAGTCAGCTGCCCGACGACAAGACGTACGTGGGCAAGATGAGCAAGCAGGGCCGGGCCACCCTGGCTGCCAGCCACTACTTCACACGTGTCGATTTGGAGATCTACACACTGCAGGTCAGATGAGAAAGGGAGGAAGCGGAAGCACATGGGTGTTTCGCCCACGCTGATCGCCCTGCTGTTCCTGTCTACCTGTGTTCAGGTGCCGGATGGCTGGCAGTGGCCGAGTGCGGTGGCGGATATCATGCTCTCACAATCGCCGTGAGCGAGAGCTGTCGAGGGGCGGAGGGGAGCGGGGCGAGTAGCAAGTGAGTGCATTAGCATAGTCGACAGGGGCGGGAACGTCTGCCATCGCCTATAATTATGCTCGCATGTGTCCATACCGTCCGTCCTCTGTATGTATTTGTCTATCGTCCGTCTAGTGTGGGCATACATATCGGCGGACATACGTGCAGTGAATGTGAGTGAATGCGTGTCACGCTGCGTGTCATTTATCGCCTCGTGTGCTACATGTCACAATGTGTTTTGTCGCTACATATGGCTGTTAATGCGTCCGCCTCTTTTATTCATCGTCTTGCTTGGTCCACGCATGTGGTCTCTCCCATCTGGTGCATCGATTCGCTGCATGGTCGCCACATGTCCCGACTCTCCATCTCGTCTCACGAGGCTGCGATGAATCAATCGTTCTCGTCCATCATCCGAACCGTTGAGTCCGCTGGAAAAAGCTGCCTGGTGGCCCCATTTGCTGGCCCCCTCAGAAGTATTGTCTACGGGAGAGGAAGATAGTGGACACAGACTCTTCAGCTCACCTTCGCAAGTTCGCAGAGGGCCTCAAGCGTCGAGATCTGTCGATTCGGGCCAGAGGCATCCATTTACTGCAATCTCTGCCTCTCATTCGCGTCTGTCGTTTCTCCCCCATCATCATGGCCGCCAGTGGGAGTGGCCTCGCGCTGAAGATGGGCGTGATGTACCTTCTGCTGGTGGGGGACGCCATCATCAACACAATCTTCGAGCACGAATGGAACGACCACACACACCTCACGGCACTCATATGGTACGTCTGGACGGATTGATGGATGGATGGATGGATGGGCGGTGGGTGGTTGTTTGTGTGTGTTTGGTGCGCTGACCGTGCAGCACTCAGGTGTCGGTTCGGCTCCTGCTGCTGGTGTGGTTTCTGGTGCTGCTGGCGCCGACCTTTTTGCTGCGGTGGGGCCTCACTCTTGTGGCGCTGAGGGACTTCATGCCCCTGTGCGTCACATGGGCGGCCTCCATCGTCTTGACACTCGCATTCAGAATACCCAGAATGGTATGCAGTTGAGAAGGAGAAGAGGGAGGGGTTTGCCGGGCTTTGCTTCTTGTCTGAGTGTGTCTCAGCAAGGTTACGGAATGGACTACTTCCTTGACGGCTGGACGTACCGAATCTTCCTCGTACTTCACACATTCGGTACGCGCAGCGAAAGGCACTCAGTCAGGCAGCACATATGGTGGGGGTGTGTGTGCGTGTTGGATGCCTGTGCAGCGTCTGTGGGTCTGTACGTGGTGTGTCTGTGGAGCTGCATGCGGCTGGCGAGACCCCACTACTACCTGCCCCACCTGTGGAACAAACAGGGCAAACGGGGCGGGCAGTCACGGTAGGTAGAGTGTTGCTTGCGACGCTGTGATGCACATGCTGTTCATAGTACACGGCGTTAAACCACACTGGCAAAACCGCACAGTGCAGTCGTTTCTGTGGGTGCACCTGGTCAGTCACGGGCAAGTCCCACAGCGAGCAGTGTGCAGCCTCAAAACACCAGCTGCACTCAACACGTCCATCTGGTACGCAGTGGTGTCTGTGGCTCTGCCGCCTTCCCCGAAGCACTGTGCGAGAGGTTCATCGCCACACAGCACTGCCGAGAAAGATGACGAGTCACAGGCCACCACCGTGCACAAGAACGGACACCGACTGCATTCAGACTCCAATGAACGAACGCATCCCTTCCTCCCTCCCTCCCTCCCTCCCTCCCCGCACACACACACAATCGGCTACGAGTAGAACATCTTGGCGAAGAGGCTGTCATGACTGGCCTGGCAGTACTCCACCAGCGGATACACACAGTGGGCCTGGCAAACAGCAATGCCTTCACTCATCCTCACTGCCTGCCGGATGGGGTCTCGCAGCGCCGCCTGCAGCCGCTGGGCGTTGAGGGGGCCGGTGAGCGAACCCTCGCGCACCGCGGCAGACAGTGCGGTTCGGGATGAAGCGAACAGGTAGCTCTGAAACGACACACACCACACACACATAAAAATCGTTTGTGTGTGAGTGTGGGTGGGTGGGTGTCTCGGTCACTGACCTCCATTGTGTCGGTGAGTGGTACACCGAGTGCTCGGCAGACGGCCCCCCACAGGATGGGGAAGTGGCCGTCGAGCTGCCCTGTCGCCACGGCTGCGTCAAGCCCACTCAGCGAGACCCCACTACACGACGCATCTGACACTCACACACAAAGCAACACCACATCACGCCGCTTGTGTGCCAATTCCCTCCCTCCCTCCCTGCCTGCCTGTCATGTCACCGACCTCCAAATGCGGCCACAACGCTTCCGATGAGGCCCCTGCCCTGCTTGACGCTCGCACGGGAAGCGACGTGGTTGTGGCTGCAGGCCTTCCACTCGGCCTCCAGCACACACAGCGACGCCATAGTGTGGCCACACCTGTAGGCCTCGCGGACGAAGGGCAGGTGGAGCGACGCTACGTTGCTGACCGACTGCAGGAGGAATGAGTGTAGGGGGGTGGGAGGGGGAGAGGGGGAGGGGGGAGGGGCTGTCTGTTTGCCGGAGGGGACCAGGCCCAGCTGAATGGACGCCTCGAGACCTGATGGACAACCAAGTCGGTCAGATGGCTATTTGCTTCCATTCGCTCCCTCTCGTCTGTGCGTACCGTTGCTGTGCGAGAATCCGCCCACAGGGAATGCTGAATCGACCAACTGCAGCAAGGTGAGCAGCGTTGCTGCCCCCCGCTCTTCATCAACAACACTGCCCATTGCCGCCACCGCCAACAACGCCGATGACAAGCCGACCCACGCAGAATAGAACAAACGACGCCTCTGCCTCTCTGCTGGGTTGCTGGGGGTTGGCTTCGCTCGCTCAATAAAACCGAGCGAGTCTGTCCACCTCTTTGAACTCGCTGGTGATCTTGGTGGCCTCCCACGCAGTCGCAAGCTCTTTGTATTCTTCCTCGAGCCTCTTAGCCTTGACCTTCTTGATGTACTCGTACTCTGCAGGGACAGTCGCACACAACACAGCCAGACCACAGACAGCTGCAGCGCGTCTTTGGGTGGTGTGTCGGTGGCGCGCCGTTCTCACGGTCAATGACGCGGTCCACTTGGTTGTCCTTATTCCAGAAGACCTGACACACACACACTCACACGCGCCGATGGACATAAGTGATTTGGCCACGCCCTCCCTCCCTCCCTCCCTCCCTCCCCCTCTCCCTGCCCTCACCGTCTTGAGGAAGTAGCCCCAAAGCAGGCAATAGCCGACGATCACCGCTGTGTATGTGTTGCCGAGTGTGTTCTTGAAGTCCATACGCGACCACGAGTACTCATTCTTGCCGCGGAAGCGAAGACCAGGGCGCTGCTTGGGAGCCCAGAAGTTGCCCTGGCTGATCTTCCCAAAACTCTGCTTCCGGCCGTTCTGCCACATCACCGTCACACCATGCCGCAATATCGCCGCTCACACCATTCCAGGCGGTTTCATGCAGCGCCCTAAGCGGCAAGAAGGGAAGGCCCCTCCGTGTTTCGCCTGTGCTGTTCGAGAAGAAGAGAGCGCCCCAGGTCCAGGTGAGATCTTATCTGAGTTTTTGCGCACAAAACGCTGCAGCTGTGTTTTGGTCTGATTGCAGTGGTTCTCTGGCGTGCTGCCGGGAGAGATCTTGCCCGATGAGCAGCGAGGAGACGAAAGGAGATGAAGGTACGATGAAGAGTGGGTGGTCGCTGCATCGCAGATGCCGTTTCCCTGACTTCGGATGCAGGGGCCGAACGGGGCTTGTGGGAGGAAGAACGTACGCTGCCCTCACACGCCGCACAGACACGCATCGAGTCATCCACCCATCCAATCATGGCTGGCACACGCGGGCTGACCGCACTTTTTGTTCTTGCATGTGCACATGGGTTGCAGCTCTCGTCCTGGTTGATACGAAAGGTACGTGCGGAAGAGAAAGTGAGTTGTGCCTGTTTCCTTGACTTTTGCGATGCCTGTCAGGCAATAATTGTGGGTACAGCATCCCCCTCGAAAACTCCCCCGACGGCCTGGATTTCGTCGTGTGCCAGAAAGCCGGGAGCGAGGGCGACTTCCCGCTCACCGGAGTCCCACTCACCGGCCGGCAGGTTCAGCCCGAGGACACTGCGGTGAGCGGGACTGCAAGCATTGCGATTTCACGATTCGCGTGTCAATGTGTATCGGCGGCAGGCGGGTGCTCTGCTGCTGGATGTCATGGACTCGTTCAAGATGGCCCAGTCGGAAGTCAGTGACGTGTTGCACAAGTGAATATGACGGCAGAAGGGGGGGAGGAGAGACTCTTCTTACAGAGATTCGTCTTCTCCTCTCTGTTGTGTTGCGTCTGCAGGGTGGTATGCACGCCGGGCCCCTGTGATGGCAGCCTGCGTAAGTTGACCACACCCGGATCTTGCTGCACGGGATGTCAGCTTTCTGCTGCTGTATTTGTCGCAGAGTCCCTGCGTGGCATGACGGATCAGGAGTGGGAGGTGCTGCAGGTTCCCCGCCCGCTCGTCAAGACCATCCAGGACAGGATCAACCGCGCCTCACGGGACACATCGAGAGGCGGCCAGACCATCCAGCGGCTCCGGTCGAAGCTCATGCAGCGCGAGAAGCAGAGCACCAAGATGAGGCAGACCGACGCACTCGAGATGACAGAAGACAGGCAGGGAAACAAGCGCCTGTAAGACGGACAGAGGAGCAGATTGCGGGCATGAAAGTGGCCGTAAATGGGTGTTTGTTTGTGCAGGGACTCGGACACCGAACCTGACGGCGACGGGTAAGCCGACAAGAGCACGGTGGACATGAAGGACGGATCTCCTTGGCTCCCAGCAGTGCGGTGGGGGCCAAGGAGCGGACGTCCTGGCAGGGCAAGGGCGGGGGCGAGGAGCTCGTGATGACCTTTGATCCACCGGGCTCACCTGACGCTGCCACACAGCGTAGTCCGGTGGTCATCCGCCTCCCAATCCCAACGTAAGATAAATGAGGCGATAGGCATCCACCGATTGAGAGTGGCCGCGGCTGATGGATTGTGTGGTGACCATGTTTGCTGTCCTGCAGGACGTTAGAGGAGAAGGAGGAAGCGGGGAGGGAGCTGAATAGAGGCCTCGAGAAGCTGCAGGACGCCTGGAGGAAGCCGGAGGGTGTCCATGCCACAGAGAAGGAATCGTAAGCAAAATGGAGGGTGGTATTTGCGCGTCCTTTTCATTTCGTGCAGATCCATGTCGGAACGCGCACCATTCCCCGACGCGGGCGTTCTGCACAGCCTCATGGAGAAGCACGAAAGGTCAGTCATCACCACTATCACGGAGCGCGCAGACAACTAGCGACACACAGACCTGATGTGATACATGCAGCAAGCTGGCTGCAAGGGACAAGGTGGTTCAGAGGTACATACGGACGCACCCAGACGACCACAGACGCTCAGCAGCTCATGCACATGCGTCACCTTGGTTCCTGCATTGCATGTGGGCTGGGCAGCCTGAAGGACGCACTGGCGGCCGCGCAGGGGGCCCAGGAGAAGGCGCTCAAGGATGAGGTGGACAAGGTGAACCGCAAGAACATCGCCAACGTGTCCAAGATGCAGGAGGCCTACAAGAAAAAAGTCATCAGGTGGGGGATGGAGGGATGGAGGGAGGGACGGAAGGAGGGAGGGAGGGAGGATGTTGTTCGTGTGTGTGGGGGTATGGTGACTGTCAGTTTGGAGAAGAAGTGTGAGAGCGTCGCCGCACAGAAGGACAAGGAGATACAGCGGTCAGTCGATGGATCGATGGATGGATGCGCACAGACAGGCCGGCCTCTTTTGCTTCCCTTCCCCATCTTGGTCTTTATCTCAGCCTGAAGGCCCAGCTGCAGCAGCAGGACGTCACGCAACAGTGAGCGGCGACCAGGAGAGGGGAGGGGGCGAGGGAGGTGCGATAATGTGCGTGTGTGCACGTGTGTGTGTGTGGTGGGTCGGTCAGGAAGGACTACCAAGAGCTCAAGAGACAGGCAGAGGCCCTAAAGGACGACAAGAAACGGTAGATGTATGACTGACAAGACACGTTGCAGACGTCCATCGACATCTGTCTGTGTGCTCTCTCGTGAGCTTTTTCCTTCAGCTTGGAGCAGACCATCAAGGCTAAGTCGACCTCCATAGCCCAGAAGGACCAGGAAATCAACAAGTAAGTAGGCGGCACGCAAGGCGCCACACACGCATGGCCGCTTCTGCTACCGTCACTGCAGCTTGAAGGCCGCCATGCAGAAGCAGGATGCGGCGTGCCGTCAGCAGATGAAACAACACGAGGACCGCCTCAAAAGGTCCCACAATCCCTCAGCCACAGTACCTCTCGTCGCTGCTCATTGCTTGTGTGCTGTGTGGTGTGGTGTGGTGCAGTGAGTTGGCCGAGGAGAAGGCGTCGATCCAAGCCGCCTGCAGCGCCTCACAAGTGGCCCTCAAGGACGAGATACGGAGGTGAGCCCTTTACCCCGGCACGTCTTTCGTGCATCTCTCTGTGGCGCCTTTGTTGTTCAGCCTTCACGCAGAGATCGAGCTCCTCAAGGCCAACGATTTCGACACGTGAGTGAGAGCAACACACACACGCCCGCCGATTGTGTATGTGGGTGTGGTGTGGTCTGTCAGGTTGGAGGCGTCACTCTTGTGGCTCGAGGGCGGCAAGGCTTCATCAGCCGACGAGCTGACGACCTTCTGCCGCAGCCTGCACGACCGACTCGTCGATGTCACGGCCACATCCACCAAGCTGCAGGGCCTGATCGCAAAGGCCAACGATGCCGCAGCCAAGCGACGCGAGGCAGAGCTGCAGGCGCTCTTGCGAGGGCACAATGCAGAGGTGGAGGCACTGCATAGCAAGCACAAGGCGGCGACGGACGAGGCTGTCGAGGCGGCCAAGGCAGAGGCCAAGGACTGCATGATCTGCATGGCGGCACCCAAGACGACATACTTCACCGCATGTGTAACCAACAGAAGAAACCATCTCGACATTGTCAAGGGTACTCACCCAGACACCATGACTGCGCTTGTGTGCTGCTGCTTGATCAGCGGCATTTGAGTGTGTGTCCCAGCTGCCGCGACAAGCTGCTGAACGGGCCCCCCAACCGGCGCAAGTGCCCTGCGTGTCGGGTGGCCGTCAGCCAGTGGCGAGAGGTGTACAATACCTGACGCCTGACGGATGGACGGGAGGAGGGAGGGAGGAGGCGCGGTGCTGTCGATCGGTGTAAGTCGTTTTGTTGGGATGTGCTGATACGTACATCCGTACTGCATACATTTGTCCGGTCTTTATTCATCTCGCTCCATTGCACATTGTGCCGTGAGTGAGGGGCTCTGCCATTTCGTGTGCATGCAGTAGACACATTCACACTGACTGTGTGCCAGCTGCAATGTTATGCGAGGTCTCCCTGATTGGTTTCATAGGTGTTTATATGTATGTGCCGTTTGCTCATCGATAGCTGCTTTCTGGATGGTGCATACACGTTGCGACCGTGCTGCTTGAGTACATGTTTGTGCCTATATGCGACTCGAATGAGTCTACGAATGTGCCGTCAGCATCATTGCCAAGAAAGCAATGGATACAGCCGACACAGAAGATCGTCGTTTCCAAGCTCGCACCGTTTGGCGATTCCTTCCCTCTTCACTTCCTCTTCCGCCTCTCCCCTCCCGGTGCTCAGCGCATCCCTCAAGTCGGTGGAAGTTCTTTCAGTGCCGCGTTGTGTTGAGGATGGCGCATCTGTATGTGGATCTGGACCCTCACAAGACCGACTACTGGGACAAGAAGAGCGGTAAGAGGGGATGGATGAAGCAGCAAAGCGCCGAAAGCAAAGCCGCTGTGCTTCTGGTGTGCATCGTCGCAGGTATGTCTCGCGAGGAGTGGTTTGACCGCATTCGCAAGTCGACGACCGTCTACGTTGGTGAGTGCTGGCCACACGCAGCCGTTCATCATCGTGCGTGGCAACTCGGTGGATGTCATCTTGGCGGTCGCCAGGCAACCTGTCGTTTTACACGACGGAGGATCAGATCTACGAGCTGTTTGGCAAGTGCGGTGAGGTGTTGCAGATCGTCATGGGACTCAACGCCAAGAAGAAAATACCTTGCGGATTCGCTTTCGTCAAGTGAGACTGATAGACCGACCGACAGACGGACAGACAGACAGCAAACCTTTAACCGCTCCATAGCACCCCATATCATCGTGTTTCTCTCTGTTGGTGTGGTGGGTGTGTGGGTCAGGTTCCGCATGAAGGCGGCGGCTGTTGCGGCCGCTCAGCTGCTCAACCAGTGCGAGCTCGACGGCAGACCCATACGCGTCGACTGGGACACTGGAGAGGGTACACCTACAGATACGACACGCACACACGCACACACAGACACACACACGTCCACCTCTCTTTCCGTGTCTGTGTGCGTTCAGGCATCGAGGGCGACCGCAAGTATGGTCGCGGTGATCACGGCATGCAGTGGCGCGATGAGTTCCGAAGGGACTACGATGCTGCGCGGGGCGGACATGGCGGCGGACTCGACTACGACGAAGTCAAAGAGAGACTCAGATATGAGTCGAGAGGTGAGTCAGCAGCGGGCAGACGAAACACAAGCACAGTTTCACACCCTCATTTCCGGCATGTGTCGTTCTCCTTTCCTCGCATGTCGTCAGGTCGTGGTGGCGGCTGGCGTGATGGCCCTTCCCGTCCGATCCTCGGCAAGCGCCACCGTGAGGATGAAGGCCTCCTCCCCCCACCCTCATTCGGCCCCCGACCACCTCCCTACTTCCCCCCGCACTTCGGCCCCCCTGGCGACTTCGGACCCCATCGTGGCGGCAGAGAGGGAGGGAGGGGCAGGCGGCCTGCCTTCTCGGGCAGGGGGAGGGGGGCTGGTAGATAGCTGACTAGCTGGGTGGGAGTGCCGTGTTTTGCTGGCGAATTGTGTTTGTATATCGACAGAGTATGGGTCTATGCGTGTCCCTGTCGTTTCTGCGTCGGCGAAGGGTCCTGTGCTGTCGATGGCTCCAGCACTGGGCCATTGGCAGTTCGTGACCCTTGGCACCAACAGATGCGACAGGGACACTTATGACCAGCATCATTTCCTTCTCTTCATGCTGTCTGCATCTCTTCTTCTTTGACTACGACTGGAGCAGTGTCATCATCAGAAGTCTCGTGTGGCCCTGTGTCTCGTTGTTCTGTCGACGAGTAGCAGAGTCACGCGAGAAGGAGGACGATGTCACTCCGTCAGTCAGCCAGCCAGTGCGGACCGAAGAAAGAACGAATGAATGAACGAATGAGTTGTCGACGTGTGTGTACTGTATGCGACTGTTATGTACACACACGTGTATACCAAAATCCGTACAGACAATCAATGTGCGTGTGAAACACGATCGCGTGATCATCCATCCGTTGACTCATTCTACTGCCTGTCTCAGGTGACAGCTTGACTGTGTCACGCGTCTCTCTCATGATCATGAGTCTCTTCGTGCTTGTCTTGGCGCTCACCGCCAAGCCGCTGGCCGCCAAGAGCAACCCCTACCCCAAGCCGTATGCCGCCTACATCGGCTCCCCGCCCCCGCCCGGCACGCCAGTCAAGACCCTCATAACACGCGCGGAGATGGGCATTTCAGATGAGGAGTACAAGGCCATGCTCAAGCCGAGCCCACCGATCTCATACGAACGAGCGATGGAGACACTGATGAGCGGCTTTGAAGACGGACACTTCCCCAAACCATTCAAATGTCAGTCAGAGACAAACAAACAATCCATCTCCTTCATTCCACGTGTGTGTCTCTTGTGCGGTGTCTCACTCACATGCAGCTGGCATTGAGGAGTTTGTCATGCCATCCAACGAGCAGTTGGGCGTGGCCGAGTTTGCCCCACCTCCTGGAGAGGCAAGACAACCGACACACAGACAGACAGACAGACAGGAGATGTCTTGATTCCATGTCTCTGTGTGTTTATGTGTGTGTCAGGAGGAGAGAGGTGTGGAGGGCGAGCTGGTGGGCAACCGCGTGGTTGTAAAGGGCGAGCGTGTGTTGCAGCCGCAGCCGAAGGTCCAATACATCATCCAAGAGCTGCCAGAGGAACGCAAAGCTGCAGAGCTCTCGTCATACCCCAGACCGGGACTGCCGAAGGCCATCGTCGAACCGCAAGAAGGTAACTCGTTGGTGGGAGAGAGAGGGGAGAGGGGAGGAAAACAATCGGTGAGAGGGGAGAGGGGGGTAACTCGTGGGAGAGGCGAGAGGTGACGAAGGGGAAAGGCACGATCGGTCGTGTTTGTTTGTTGTGTCAGCCGTGGTGCATCCGCCGCAGTACGCCATCCTCGCGTACAAGGTGGTGCTGATCGTCGTCTCCGTCTCAAGCATCATCTACTTCCTACTCGCAGGCCTTCTTGGTCAGCGGCCGGCCACACAACATGAGGAAACACACACACGCACATTGGCCATATGTCTCCTTGTGTCTCTGTGTGATTTTAGGTGAGACACTCTTGGAGGTGCTGAAAGAGCAAGTCTTCCTCAGCGTGAGTGCCAGCCTGAGTGTCTTCTACATCGTCCTCATCGTTGGCATCAACCTCCTCGACGCCGTTCACTCGCTCGACGTGGCACTCACCATCGTCCTCGCCCTCCTCGCCGGTCAGACACACAGAGACAGCCAGAGAGTCGTGCAAGTGCACGCTGTATTGTGTGTTGTGCGTGTGTGCATTTGTGCAGGTGTGGGTGTGTTGTTGGTGGGCCGGCTGCGCGACACGTCTGCCATCAGCCGTGAGGTGGTCATGTCGTTTGTGGCGGCGGCCTTCATCAACCTCGTGTACCAGGGCGTCTGCTGGCTCATGCGCAACCCGTTGGGACCCATCGGCCTGCTCACCATCCAAGTGAGCACCGAGACGCCACATGGACGGACACACCAATGTGTGTGTGTGTGTGTGTGCGTCTTTGAAGCCCAAGACGGCGTGTGTGACGTACTTTGTGTTGCTGCCCTCGCTCGCCTACGCCGTCGTCCTGCTGGTCGGCAGACAGACAGACAGACAGACAGACATGCCACTGTCACGTGTGTGTGTGTCGTGAATAAAATGTCAGCTGCGTCGCGTGGTCCCTGCTGCCACCATCCAGAGTCTCCTGCGCACGTTCGTGTCGATCTTCTTCGTCGTGGCCGGTGGGCAGCCAACTCAAAATGCACACTCACCGGATTCGCTCATCTGTCTCCCGTGTGTGTGTCTCTATGTGTCTCTCTCTCTTTGTGTGTCTGTGTGCAGCTGCCAGCTATGCCGTCCACGCACTCATGCCGCGCCTCTTCCCTCTCATCGCACTCGTACACACACACTCCGATGGATGAAGGGGATGGACAATGATCATGTGGCCTGATGGATGTGCTGCACGTCTGTCTGGGTGTGTCCGTCCGTCTGTGGTGCAGGAGCCGATAGCCTTCTTCGCGCTGCCGTCGATCGTCTTCAACGCATCTTGGCGCGAGGCCGTGTTCTTCGCTGCCTTCGCCGGGCTGTGGAAGGGACTCACTTTCCTGACGGTCCTCTTCAAGGCGCCAACCGTCCAGCCAGCAGAACCAGCACCACGAAGAGAGGCCGAGGTGAGTGAGGCAGAGCAAGAAAGAAAGATCGGGGGAGGGGGAAGAGACGCACACATTTATCCTCTCGCGTTTGTGTGTGTGCAGGGCTGAGAGGGATGGTCGAGCAGCGCAAACAGACAGACAGACAGACAGACAACAGACAGAAAACCGGACCGACATGTTTTGGTTGAGATGAGCGACTCCTTTGCACTGACGACACACTCGTGTGTATGAATCTGTCCATGAACGAGTCCCACCAGTGCGTCCATACTCATCAAACTACATTGATATCTTTCTACAGAGTCCCTCCTTCTGCACTCCTCATCAAGGGCACGAGCCCATAACGCAACACATACCGACCTGACACACACACACACACATACACACACACACGTACACGTCATGTACACACCAGCGCACATGTGTCCATGAACGCATTGGCCTCCCGTTTGATGAGTATGGACGCCCTCCCTAATGTCATATGACTCCCGTAAATACATGTGTTCCAGCCAAATAAGATGTCATCGTTTTCTCGCGTCGGGGTGCTCGCCAAGGAGCTAGAAGTGGAGCTGGGCAAGATCACCGCCGACATCGAACAGCTCAAGAGGGAGCAAATCGCACAGTTGGAGAAGGAAAGGGAAACGTACGTGAGCCGCACGGACGCCCGGACAGATGGACAGATGGTTGGTCGGTTGATGGCGTGGTTGCAGGTTGGAGAGCGAATACCGTGAGAAACACGACGCCTTGGTTCGTGAGCGGGCTGCCCTCGAGGCCGAGAAGAAGATGATGTACGCACGGCACCCAGAGCCGCTGCAACACGACGTGCTGCAGTTCAACGTCGGGGGCCGACAGATGGCCGCCAAAAGAGCCACGTACGGCATGGAGTCCTCTGCGTGTGCGTTGTTTCGGCCTATCCTTGTGGCTTTGTGTCCATGTGTTCAGTTTGTGCGTGGTTCCTGGCAGCTACTTGGCCAACTGTTTCTCGGGCCGGTGGGAGCACTGCATAGAGCGCGACGCCGACGGGTGCTACTTCCTGGATTTCGACCCCGAGTGCTTCGAAGTCATACTCAACTGGCTGAGGTGTGCAATGAGAGGTGGGGGGATGGCGAGGCTAGAATGGGCAGGGAGATGTGCCTTGTGTGCAGGGATAGGCGTGTGCAGGGATCGGGCATTGGCGCCAAGCCGCCAGGTTGGTACACGTCTTCTCACTTTCGTACACGTCATTTTTCGCTGTCTTCAGTGCCTTCTGTCGGTAAGGAGAGCCACTTCGCCAACCTCGTGGAGTTTCTCGGCCTCAAAGAGTCTGCAGACAACCACCAGCACACATCCACGGCCATTAGCTGCACGTCCGCACAGGACATCACCACCCGAGAGAATAGCTCTGAAGGTGAGCAGACAGCCACCTGTACCATGATCCGCACTGATTCCGCAGGTAATGCTGTCCTCCTTCGTCTTCTCTGCTCGTGCAGGTGTGTCGGCCCCTGCGCTGGCATCATCTGCAATGAGAGCTGCGTCCAATCTGCCTCAGTGGCGCGTGGTGCCGGGCGTGTGGGTGTGGGATGAGAAGCACGGCGGGGCTGGGTGCGGACTGCCCGACACGAGAGCCAGGGGCTGCTCCCAAACCATCAGAACAGAGGAGCCCGTCGCAGATATAGGTCGGTCCCATCGCGAATGAGATGGCACACTTTCTCGTACAGCTGTTGGTTGGATATGGTTGGCGTGTATGTGTGTATGTGGTCAGGGGGTATCGTGTGCTGTTGGGAGGTGGAGGTGCGGACCGTGTCCGATTGGAGCTATGTCGGCTGCGTCACTGAGGAGTGGGGAGGCAGCATGGCCGCCTGCAAACCCCTGGGCAGGACCCACCACTCCTGGGCCATCGCCAGCAATGGTACGTACTCACTCTTGGCTCGCTGGCTGGCTGGCTGGCTGGCTGGCTGGCTGGCGGCACACAAACAGACGGGCACTCGTACAATACGATGTTTGGGTGTCTTTAAATTGCGTGTAATCTGAGCGAGCAGGTAGTGTGTTGTCGTGCGGCGTCGAAAGACCCCCAAAGAGCCCCAACACTACTGCCTACACCACTGGTACGTGGGCATGGCGCAGACGTCCGTACGCGCTCGATTGGTGCTGGCCTGTTCGTATGCATGTGCACACGTACATCTTCTGCCGCTGCACGGCAGGCGCCCGTTTGTGTTTCGTCTGCCGGCTGAACGAGCCAAACAAACCGGTGAGCGCTCAGGGAAAGATCGAACGCCTCGCCCCAATTAAACAAGGAGACGCCCGTACGTCCGTGTGTGCAGGTCACGGTCATTGTCGACGGTCGGCGCCACGAAGGTGCTTCGGAGATGAAATGAATGCACGTGTGTGGGCTTTGATTTCATCATGTGCTGGTCTGGATGTGTGGTGTATGCTGCTGTCCTGTCAGCCCTGTTCCATCTAGGACCCAACGCTGACGCAGTGTTCCCGGCGGTGTCCAACGGCCGATCTCCAGGTGGGTTTCCATCCGCTCATCGGCTCGACATGTGCGCTGGTGTGTACATGACGTGTACGTGTGTGTGTGTATGTGTGTGTGTGTGTGTCAGGTCGGTATGTGTTGCGTGATGGGCTCGTGCCCTTGATGAGGAGTGCAGAAGGAGGGACTCTGTAGAAAGATATCAATGTAGTTTGATGAGTATGGACGCACTGGTGGGACTCGTTCATGGACAGATTCATACACACGAGTATGTCGTCAGTGCAAAGGAGTCGCTCATCTCAACCAAAACATGTCGGTCCGGTTTTCT